ATGAGTCTTGAAGACAAGGAAAACTGTCAAAACGATTTTTTCATAAATACAAGACTGTTTCAGATCCTACACTGAACACTCATCCCTCAAATACACGTATCTAGTTCGCATGGACTCCACGTGTCCCCTCATTTGCCACGTACAAGAATAAATTAGTACTAGTACAACATCCATGTATTATATGGGTGGGGATGGTGCCTCATCCCGAATCGTTCATAAACCGATTCATAAAAGTGAGATCGATATCCAGACAAGTCAAATCCAGGACCGCGCCCACCCCTACCATAAATAATCAACATATTTATAGATAATCTGAACCTACATGTTTTTGAATTAGAAGTAAATTAAATCTATCCAACCCTAATAACAAAGCATGTAATTTTACCACATAGGATCCCGAAGCATGCGAGCCTGCCACATAGGCTCAGCACGTTCTGAATTAATATATAAAGGGGACGAGCCTGCCACATAGGCTCAGCACGTTCTGAATTAATATATAAGGTAGATTCTACATCTCTCTTCAAGCTTAATAACACACACACATATATACAGGACTTCGGATAACTTGTCTTCCTTCTTCCACCTCCATTACTCGAACAATGGTAGCTAGGGCTGTTATCGAACCGAACCGAACCGAGCTTAAGGTGTTCGAGCTCGAGTTCGATTAATTTTCGAACATGTTCGTGTTCGTTCGATTAGTAAACGAATAAAAAATTTTGTTCATGTTCGTTCGTTTATTGGTTCGACACGTTCGTGTTCGTTCGTTTATCTAGTCGAACATGTTCATGAACTGTTCGAATTGTTCGACAAGTTCGTGTTCGAGTTGTTCGACATGTTCGTGTTCGTGTTTTTTAACTTTTTTTTTTATTTTAATGTCAGACAAGTTATTTTATTTATTATTTAATATCTATTCATATTTATATGTTTTATTATATATGTATATACTATATATAATATATAAAATTATAAAATATTTGTGTTTTATTTAATATTTAATATATATTTATATATTATATTATACATGTATATACTATATATAATATATAAAATTATAAAATATTTTTTTGTTCGCGAACGCTCGATTAGTTCGCGAACATGTTCATGTTCGTTCGATAATTAAACGAGCGTAATTTTATGTTGGTGGTCGGTTCGATTGCTAAACAAACGAGCTGTTATCGAACATGAACGAACTCGAACAAGCTTTGTTCGCGAACGTTCGGTTCGAAAAACAGCCCTAATGGTAGCTATGTGATTGGTCTCAATAAATTTAATAAACAAAAAAATGTTGCCCTCTTCATCAGCCTCAATCAGCCCTTTACTCGTCTCTCAAATTCCAAGACCAAAATTAACCACGGCCCAATTTGCTAAACAAAAAAATGAGGAAATTACACCCCACACTAACACATTTAAATTATATTACACTTTTCTACCCTTTATATACTTATTTATAAAATTACATAAAGAAGCTACAAATATTTCCAATTATACCTAAAATTCAAATTTTAGTAACTTAACTTTTAATTAGGGAACAAAATCACACAATAAGGATCAGAAAAGTGGGCACCGCTCTACAGTCATCGGAGGCCTCCATTCCCAAAAAAATCCTCCCTCAAAAACCTTCTCTCGAACCTAAAAAAACGGGTCGTATCTACTACACGGCACGATCTGTTGTTGGCTTGATTTTCCGTCACTTCTCTTCGAGTTGATCCACGGAACGATGTCGTTGAGGCCGAATTCGAGGACAGAGGTTCGCCGGAGCCGGTACAAGGTAGCGGTGGATGAGAATGACAATTTAGTAGCCGATTGTTCCTCTGCCCGATAAGAAGGTACAATTTAGTAGCCGATTGCTATTGTTTTTCAGTCTTTTGCTAACAATGGAAGGTTTACTGGATTTTTTTGCATAATTTAGATCGTATCCGATGATGGTTCTTGTCATTTGGATCGATCCGTCTGATCTGCTGCGATTCTCTTTGGTTTTTCCTATTGATCTTAGCCCTTCGGATTGAGTGAACTCTATTTGATGTTCTTTTTCAATTGGAAAGCCTTCCTGCAATGGTTGCTGGGGTTTGGTCTGATGATGCTGCTCTGCAGCTAGAGGCTACAACTCAGTTCCGTAAACTTCTTTCTATAGGTATTTATTTTTCATTTGTATTTAATGAATTTAACTTACTGGGATTTGTTCTGCGTAAATATTTTTGGTGGAGTTTTTTTCGTTTCTTGGGCTTATTTGGGTTTCCGGCAAGTCGAGAATGAAGAACCCTATTTCATCTCCGGGTTCAGACGAATTCCAGTCAGACCCAAATATACCGGAAAAGTCTCGGCGAACTCGTAAATTGGAGAAGCCCAAATACACCGACAAAGATTTGAACGAGGAAGACCCTGATTTCGAGTATGAAACCCAACCCGAAGAAACCGGTAGCGAAGAAGATTTGGAAGAATAAGACTCCCCGGTTGAATTCAAGTATATAGTTCGTATAATTCAAGTATATGTGGGATAAGTTTATTATGTGTTGAATATTTTTTATGTAATTCTAACAATTATATCTTTGGACTGTATGTTAGTAATATTTAAGTTTATTTACTGGTACATATATCATACTGCCATTGTGTTTGCAGTCAAGTAGAGTTTTGTCTAAAATTGTGTTTTGTGGTTGTTCACTACACGTGTAGTATATTTTCGGTATATTCAAGGCATATTGCAATGCTCAGTATATTTGTAGTACAGATTTCTAGTATATGCAAGGTTTATTTGCATGATATTTAAGTTAATTCTGCAACTATTTGTCATACCATTTGTTTTTTAATTGCAGTGCATATTTTTTAGTATAATTCAAGTATATTGAACAGCACACATGTTTAGTTCAATGATATTTATGTTTTTTATTGCAAGTTTTAGTTCATTTCAAACATATGCAAGGTTTATTTCAATGATATTTATTTTTTAATACTGGAAGTATTTTCCAGACTTCTTTTTTATCTTGATTTCTCACTATATATACAAGTAAACTGGAGAAGCCGATTTACTTGAAGATGCCGATTTATGTTTGTTACTTGAAGATGCCGATTTACTTGAAGATGCCGATTTATGTTTGAAAACAACACATATATCATTAATGAAAAAACTATCAATTCACGTACGTTTCAATTAACGTTAAACATACAAAAAAAAAAGACATAAAATTTCCATGAAAGACATGTTTTTCATTGCAACATATACTGAATATATACTAACATAAAGGCAACATATACCGATCTGGACAGTCGCGTGAATTAGAGGACATAATTTTTTACGAAAGACATGTTTTTCATTGCAACATATACTAATATATACTAACATATACTATATGTAGCGGGTATATACAATATTTTTTCATTATATGTTTCGAGTATGAAAATTTATATGTTTCGGGTATATGTTACGGCTGTATACAGTATATATCAAAGTTATACAACGTACATATACATAAAATATACATAGAATATACACTCGAGATTCTAGTAATTCAAGCCAACCGGGACACATATATACATAAAATATACGTTAAATAACACTCGAGTTTCAATCGTTTCTCAAAATAGATTTTAGAACCCATATATACATAAAATATACTCAAGATATACACTTGGTCGGAAAGGACTGTCACGGCGGAGGGAAAGCGGGCCGCAGAGGCTGAGGACGACGGCTCGCGGGGTCTGCTCGCGATGGTCCTAATCGCCGGAGGAAGAGGCTGGTCGCGGCGTCTGGTCGTGACAGGGTTCGCCGGAAGCTGCAATTCACGCGTGAACAAGGGTCGCCAGAATTCTTCGCGAGATGGAGGCGTCGCAGAGGGCTCGCGATTGGTTCTGATCGAAATTCGCAGGTCCACGCGGAGGATACTCGCCGGCGGGAGGCTCGCGGCGTCAGATTTGCAGAGACTCGCGGCTTGCTGCTCGCGAACAGAGATGAGTTCACGGCGGAGGACTTGCGAGCAGGCGACGGTCGGGGGTACTGCGCAGCGGAGGGGCTCGCCGGCGATTGGTCTGCGCGTCGTTCAGAGGATGGCGGAGGAGGAGATGACGAGATGATGGTGATGGTGTGCGGCGCGCCTAGGTGGTCACAGCTTGGAGATCGGCGGCGACGGGAAAGATCAGAGGTAGGGATAACGACGATTGGTGGTGAGTTGAACAACGAGAGATTTGTTGCGTGATTTGTCCCTATCAAATAGGAATGGAGATATGTAACTTATTTTTTAGGCACTAATGTAATTAATTATTGTCTATTAGGTATATACACAATTAATTATGTATGAATGGTAATTTTGCAATATTTTAATAATCATATAGGATAACTGAAAATTTCCCCAAAAAAATCGTGCTTTTCCTCCATCTCGGATAACGGGCCGAGCCCAAGAGCCGACTTACAATGGGGGAAATCTGCCGCTAGACATTTCGAGTCCTCCACCTGAATATGAGCCTGGTGTGCCAACTGAGATGCCGCCCAGGCCCAATATTCCAGAAATTGGCCCAATTCCTCTAGCGATGCCTGCTGACCCTCCACCTCTCTCGCCTGGGCCTAACTCAGGCTCAGAATTTCCAAGCCCACCGGATCTGATTCCACCAGAGCCGGAGGCACCTCGGCCACATGTGCCTTCTCCACCCGAGATAGTACCACCTGATGTGACATCTCCTAAATCACCAGAGCCTGGGCCGCCATATCCCGACGAACCACCTCCGATAATGGGCTCAGATGGGCTGGCCATTTACTAAAAATCTGGATAATAGCTGTGTATTAAGTGAGTTTCATCCTTGTAATTTTTATTTTATAAAAGTGGGAAATAGGTATTGAATTTTTTCTTTCCTTTAGTCTTTCTTTTGTTGGAAAAAGTACCAAAGGCTGTTTGTCTACCATGAAATAGGATTTTATTAAACAAAAACAAAACTATTTTAAAAATAAACCCAAACAGCATATTATTTAAATGATAACAAAATATTAATTAAATATATAAATAAAATATTAACTTATTAATACAGGAAAAATTTAATAGAGGGATGCAAACCGGTTCGATTGAAATGAAATCAAATATATTTTGAAAAAATATGTGGAACAAATAAAAGATCTCTAAGCTTGAATTGAATTAAAATGCTACATTCAATCTCACAATATACAACATACATATTAAGTATAACTTATTAATATAATTTACTAACTAATATAATATAGTTTATTATAATTTTAAATGTGTATTATCTTTATACTGTTAATTATAAAAATATGTGGAATACGTCGAAGAAAGAGGCGCCAAAGGAAAACAGATATGGTCGAGGTAAGCAGGTCGGTCCAGGGCCACGAAGAGGAGGTTAGGTCGGCCACACAGCTGAACTTCCCCCCAAATCGAGGTCGTAGAGAATGCACCGAACATGTAAGTCTCCACCTCATATTGTCTAAACCGCCTTCCGAGATCGGAATCTGCTGGATCTGATCTAAAATATGATCACTAAAACCCGCTCCAGAACCTATCATCCTCTCTAATTTATCTCTATCTAAAATAAGGTCTCAAAAATACAGTCGAATTTTAGTTTGGATTTGTACATAAAAGAATACACAATAATGTTAACAACATACAATAGTGATTATTATACTGCACAATAGTGTTAGGCCTAATGCACATTAACACGATTGAAAATGTACATCAACATAACAGAGTGCATTTTTACAAATATTAAATTTTCGTTATTTCCTTACGATCTAGTCTTTATTTACAAAAAAAAATAGAAAGGAAAAGAAACAAAAAAACACACAAAAGTCAAATAACAAAACCGAAAAAACTATTAACCAAATATAACTTTTATTATATATATTATATTTGTCTTCAACAACAAATAATATAACAATACTAAATAAAAACTTATAAGTAATAAATATGTTTACATAATTTTGACAAATGTAGAATTAAGGTTCGATTGGCTGCATAATAATGTTAGACAAAATGCACATTTTTGTTTGCGTGAATGCACGATATCAATTTCAGCATTTCGTATATCAAGGTTCGATTGGCTGCATAATAAAACTTCACCAATCCAGCAGATACATGGGGCTATCATTGGGGATTGGGAAGTCAAAAAAGGAGGCTTTTGACTATGTGTTGGAGGCTGTTAAAGCTAAATTATCCAGCTGGAAGAATAAACTATTGGTTGCTGCAGGCAAACAAGTGCTCATTAAGGCAGTTTTGAGTGCCCTGCCAATCTTCACTAAGGCTTGCTTCAAGATCCCTATATCAGTGGCAACATAAATTTCAAGGTTATGTGCACAATTTTGGTGGTGCAGGGGTGATTGGAAATCTTGGAACTCACTAACAATTCCCAAGACTTAAGTTGGTCTGGGGTTTCTGGATGTGCAGTTATTCAACAAGGCTTTGATCTATAAGCAATTATGGAGAATCACATCCCAGCCTGATTTGCTTGTGAGCCAAATTCTAAGAAGTAGGTACTTCCCAACTACATCTATTTTTGAAGCAATAAAATCCCAATATAGCTCTTGGTTGTGGAACAGTTGGGAATGGGGCAAGCACAAGGATTGAAGAAGCCAAACTGGTGCCAAATCTGGGAAAAATGAGACCTGATATGCTGCCTTTAGCCAGAGGACACATGGTTTGGGTGACAGATCTTTTTGACAACAAAAGCACTAGATGGAATGAATGGCTTGTTAAACAGTTGTTTGGGGCAGAGGACAGTTCAGCCATATTGAAAATTTCAACACTAAATCCAGACAAACCTGATAGGAAGTTTTGGTGCCTGCACAGCAAAGGCCAGTTCACAGTCTCTTCAATTTTCTCTGATCTGATTTTCAGGAAGGTGCAGGGGCTAGACATTCCAGAAGGCAGCTCTAACTCAAAAGCCATCAAAGCAGTGAGAACAAAGACCTAGAAGCTGAAAATTCATTCCAAGATCAAGCATCTGCTATGGAAATGCTGCTCAAGGGCACTGCCAGTCAAAACTGCACTGAGAACAAGAGGCATGGATATTGATGTCATATGACAAGGCTGTGGTGAGTGATTGGTCGGAAAAAGTGTGTATTTTATATATTTATTAGCGTATTTTTATATGCTTAATTTTTATCGCACTTATATGTTTTTCGGCTTATTTATTTATTAGATGGATTTGAGTGCTATGATATTTTTGTGCATTATTTTCAGACTATTGGGCTACTTTTATGGACGGCGAGATATTAAACGGAAGTTCCAACAGGCAGAATATGGGGGTATCCCGTACTGACCCCAACAGACCCTGTACTCAGACATCCAACAAAGCCCATGAAGGTCATGCATATATAAGCCCATGTATACCAAGTCATGCAATTCATGTAAGAGGGCTGAGAGGAATAAATATAATTGGGCTGCAAATATTAAAACTAAAGTGGGCCAGGAAGGACTAAGTCAAAAAGGAATTAATTGTGGTGAGAGGACACGCAGCCCAAACTCATGGGAGGGGTGGAATTATTTCGGCGGAGGAAAGTTAATTGAAGCGGGGCACTCAGATTAATTGGGGACTTAGGAATTATTTAGTCAGGAAATTATTTACACAGAAAAAAAAACAGAGAACTGACGCATAAAAAAACCCCGCAGCCACCAAAACCAGAGCAGCCGCAATATCAGAGAAAAGAGAACACACGGACAGAGGGTACACGAGTAACCCGATCAAACGCGGAGGGAGGCCGCACCCGTACACGAGGGAGATAATTAATCTCTCTCTTTTATTTATTTTTCTTTTTTATTTATTATGTTAGGCTAGTTTTTATTTTTAGTTCCGGTGATGTTGAACCTTACGACTTGATGATGTTTGATTGATTTTCATGGTTGATAATTTCAATGTCTTTTTGGAATTGCTTGTGTTATTTTGAATAATTCACCATGATGTGTTAGTCTTGTTTAGATTGATCACCTAGATTAGGCTTTTCATATCTACATCTGAATTAGACCTGCAATCCGTAATTGTTGTTGTGTTTAATTCATAAGAGGTAACCAGAAGATGGTAACTACCGAGGATAACACGGCCTATTTAAGTGAACGAACGCGGTTGAGTTCACTACTTAGTCTAGCCTATTTTTCTAATTCGTAAAGTGGCTAATTGTATTAAATCTTGAAAACGTTTTTCTGGACTGTACAAGAAGTCAGGTTTAATCGTTGAGTGTCTCGCGGTTAAATTAAAAATTAGAAAAAATTCGGGTAACTGACCGTGTCCTTGCCTAGGGCTAGTAATTTCATAAGATAGCGAGATTTGATACCAGAATTGATTAGACGAGTCAGTCGAGGGTGTAGACGGAACCGTGAACTAGAAAGTTCTCTTTATTTATTCTATTTTATTTTTATTCCCTTTGTTTATTAGGATTTTTAATAAGTTTAGTTTTTAAAACCAATCCCCCCCATTTATCGCTTTTTATAATTTCAATTAATACGAGAAAATTCACGATTTTATTCGCACTCCTTGTGGGATCGACCCTTGCTCGCCACTACTACTAGTTAGTAGGAGTTAGTTGAGGAAAAATATAAATATTAATTTTGCCGCGTTGCGACGCGCGGTCAGTGAGAAGCCTGAGACAGTAGAACATGTTTTCTTTCACTACTCCAAAGCTAGAAGACTGTGGGACATAGGTCTTGTTCAATGGGAAGGACTACAAGATCCATGTATCAATTTTTGTTCTTGGTGGAGACATATCTGCTCTTGTGGCAAGGATGAATTAGCAGAAGACAGAATCCAGCTCACTACTTACGTGTTGTGGTGTTTGTGGCGCTCGAGGAATCTGTTGTTGTTTGAAGGAAATAATCTGCCATCTCCGTTTGTGCTTAAGTGTGCACTCAGAGAATGGCATGAGTTCAGTTCACTGTAGTTTGTGTTTGTTTGCACCTTTCTTTTCCCAGTTTTTCCTTTCTCGGTTTCTCTTTTTCTGGTTCTGTTGGACAGGGGGTAATTAAAGCTAGGCACTTGGCAGTGGTTTTATTCCCCTCTGTTATTTATTGGTTTTCTAGTTTGTTGTTTGCTTGTTGTGTTTGCTTCAGTCCAGTGATGGAAGTCTAGGCCGCCTGCATGCAAGTCCTCCCAGTTTTATATTTCGGTTCAGTGTGGCATTGTATTCGAACTTTGTTCCCTTGGAGTTTTAATACCATCTCTATCGTTTTGAACAAAAAAAACTTTTCATATATTTTTTATTTTCTTACTATATATTTGGATATTATTATATTGATTTTACTTGTCAAAAAATGATTTTAGTGTAAAATTAAAAGACCAAGAAGATTAGATTTCTGAGAGCTGAAAATCGAGTCATTTTTTTTTTTGCCGGAACGATAAAGAATATATATAACAAAACGCACAAATGTGCAAAGATATAACCCGTAGTTGAATAAGACAACCAAAAGCTGAATAAAAATGAGAGGACAGACCTGACCCGCCTAGAATCCCGGACCCTAGCAACGATAGAAACCGAAAAGAAGACTCACAAAATAGCTACACAACAAACCACAAAAATTACAACGAAAAGCTCCCCATAGGAGAATAGAGACAGAAGCAGGTCCCCACAAGATAATAAGTTGCTCCTGCTCGTACTGAGGCCAACGACCCAAACCAAAAATACAAAACACAAACACTCAGGCAAAGAGCCCAAACCTAAAACATAATCCTACCACACAAAACAACACATAAAAAACAAGTAAAAATTACACGAGCCCTCCCTCTACAGCAACTCCAAACCAGACTAGCAGCCACCAAATCAACCCGAAAATTGAGTCATAGAAAGCCGAAAAATCGAGCGAGACTGAAAAAACAATCGAGGACAAGATATTTCCAAGTATACACAGGAAAAAAGGAAAGAAGGGTCCACATTATCGAAAGAAGTGAAGACGCATTTGAATGTGGTAGATATGAGAAGAGATTTGGCATAGATACTTGGAAGACAATGAGATCTTATTTCCATTGTTGAACGAGAAGATCTTGAAGATTTAGAAACTCTTAATTTTCAATGAACGTACATACTATTTATGGATTAGTATATATTTTAATTTCATTAGTTCTTGTTGGGGCACGAGCTATTGCATTGATTATACTGAGAATTTAGAGAATTTTCATAGAGAGATTGTGAACTTTATTTAGATTTTATAGAGTGTTATCGAATTTCGGCATGCTTAGGGCAAGCATTGTCATATTGTTTGGAAAGATCTATACGTGAGCAGTCGAAGTCTACGTCGTTCCTGGAAAAGTAGTTATGTTAGTGGAGTACAAAGTAGGTTAGTTAAGAGTGAGTCTTCGCGCATAATTCTTATTTGTATTTATTGGTCAAATACTTGCTTAATGATAGAGTTCTGAGGGAGAGTGTGAAACTCTCCAAAAAGTTCATTTTTATTAGTTTTCGTTTTCGTATATTTACATGAACTTACAGTGTTTTTAGTATTGACACAACTACTAGTCTCCATAAAAATTTTAGTCACTTGGAGAATATGTTAAGATAAGTAAATTTTCAAAGGTAAATCCAAGAATATGTATAACTTCATGAAATTGGGTGAATAATTGTGAATTTTACTTCACAAATCACTTAATTAATAACATGTGATTTTCGGGATAAAATATTCTAATAAGTAAATTCTAATAAGCAAATTTGGAAAATGCGTATAATCTCAAGAGATTCAGTGAATTATTCTTATTTATACTTCAAATATCACTTAATTTAATATCATTTATGTTAAAAATAATCTATTTATTTATTTTCTTGTATTAATATTGCAAAGATCAACAATGGATATTTAGTTCATATTATATATAAATAAATAAACAACTATATATATATGTGTGTGTGTGTGTGTATGGTATGCAAAAGACTTCCGATCGACTAAATATCAGCCTGACTCGAGCTCCTCGCCGGTTGAACACCTTTATACCTGCAAAAACTCTCACATCGTAGGGGTTTTCCAGTGAAGAGCCTCTAATGCTTATGTTAACACTTGTTTAAATAAGCTGCCTAAACTGCTCAATTTGCCCAAACTACTACTTAATCTGTCCAAACTGCTCAATTTCAAAATGTCAATCGAAATCCTAAACGAATATACACCTTAAGTCTTGTGTGGGATTTGATGAGAGATTTGAATTAGCAAATCGAAAAAAAAAAATAGTAAATCTCATTTTCAAACAACTTAAATACCTTATAATTTGTTAATACATTTTGAAATCTCAAATGAATAAATCAGAATTTTTAGAAATCTTAAAAAATCCAAATTACGTAAACTACTACACCCATTTAGGAAAAAAATGCAAGATTAGTCAAAACCACATTTTGAACAATAGTTATAATATAGTAAATGTATGTTTCCTGCTTTTCACCATGAAAAAGTGTGAAAAAAAATACAATATAATTATAATAAATTGAATTATCACTAAAAAAGAAAAAGAAAATAAAGAAATTTGCCTAACTTGATCTCAAATTACATTACTTATTTGGCTAATAAAATTGTTTCATTCTTCTTTCCTTATAAATACAACACAAAAACTGATCATACACTTTCAACCACAACATAGTCAAGAAAATGAATATGCTGATCACAACACTAGTTGTCCTATTGGGGCTGGTCACGAAACTAAATCCATCACAAGCAATCAACGAGAAGGAAACGGTAGTGCTGAAGAATGACATCCCAGGTGAATATGTGACTATCCATCCTTACTCCTCTGAGGACGACCTTGGAGTGCACGTGCTCCCCTATGGTGCAAATTTCACTTTTCACTTCCGCATAAATATATTGTCGACCACCAAATTCTTGTGCGATTTTTTCACTGCGCACGGCTCTGGGAACTATGCTGTTTTCAACACCAGGTTGGGATATCAATGCTGGGGTTACTGCTTGTGGACCATTGGGACCTATGGACTGTGCCTCCAGCAAATCGACAATCAACTGTACTGCCAAACCTGCAAAAAACCTGCACCTCCTAAGATGATAACAAATGTTAACAAGTTGTAGTTATATATGTTTATGATAGATCCATAAAACAGCAAACTGTTGATGGCTTTTCATTTGTAATATTTCTTGTTGCCAAATAAAGTTTCTAAGTGGTTTATATTTTGCTTTACAGATACAACACTCATGTACTACACGGGATATTGAATTAAAAAAAAAAATATATATATATATATATGCATATATTTTTTTAGTTAAATAATAATATAAGTTTTTTAGTTTCGATTATACAATAAGTTTTGTTCAAAATTACACATGTTTATATGCGACCAGATTAAATAATTTTTATTCATATTAGCGTGTGCCTTATATAAGGTATGTAAAACGTTAAAATTATTTTTAACTCATAGAATATAATATAAACATACCAGGCTATAAACATCCACCAACAATATTTTTCTGCGTATACTGCAAGAATGTATATATCAATTCCAATACTATTTGTCATAGCATAACTCATAGATAAAATTACTTTTAATAATGTTTAATAGATAAATTCAATTTTTGTTTAAATATTTTTGTTATTTTTATATATATGGTGAGGGATATATAGGAAAATAATTAGGGATCAAGTTTCTTTAGTAATGCATAATTTAAAATAAAAGTTTTAAATGATTTTATTCCCCTTATATAAAATATTTTTAATATCTCACCAATGCAATAGACCATGACAATTAGTAAATTAGGTCAAGTGCCATTCTCTCATTATAGGTAAAAACTTTGATTAGTTTTAGAATTTTCGGTTAATATATAGTTATATAATTGACTCTGTACCTTGTAAGAATATCATATTTTGTTAATAATTTTTCGAATGAGAATATGCCATGTAGATTATCTATTTCAATTTACCCTTGTAGATATTTTGTACTTTCTTTTATTCCAATGCATGAAATGAAATTAATAAATAAATCTGATTCAAAATTAAATATCTTGGAAAAAAAAAAAGAAACAGAAACTACAAATATACAGTAAAATCTCGTTAAATTAATACTCGATAAATTAATAACCTCGCTAAAACTAATAATTTTTCCGATCCCAAGTTGGGAGACCAGTAAAAATTTGGGACTCAATCAATAAAATTATAAGATAATAATTTTTTTGAGATCCCAGCATATATATATTGGTCCCGACGAAACTATAAATTAATAATTATTAAAACTAATCCATATATATATATATATATATATATATATATATATATATGATGCACTTGAAGATTCAACCCATTTCACCAAATCATTTTGAGTGCATCCAGGTTGATCTCTATTATACTCACATAACATCTTTCGTTGTTGGTTTGGTCATGGTTGATTTTTGAATTCCTTTTATATGAGTGGCCATTTTTATGTGTGATTTACCAAGATTCCAATGGATGAATATATAGTGTTGACATCTACACATGATTCAATGCACAAATGTTAGTCCAATGAACCATATTTTTGTATTTTTTAAAACCAATTAATTTAAACATGTCATTCCAACTTCCACGTGAGTTTGTGTTCATGAAATTCTACTAGTACATTTGTATTTTAACATAATTTTCATCAATAACTATGCATGTATACTTAAAGTTATTCAAAGAATTTGGAACTTTGAAGGTCAACTGTGCATATACGTTAAAACCTCTTTAAATTAATAAATCATTACTTATCGATATAATAATATCTCTATAAATTAATAAAATCCTCCAGTCCCAACATTATTAATATATAGAGGTTTTACTGTATTATAGTTGATATTTTAATAATAATATATTTACATTAAAAACAAATTACCACCAATGATTCGATGGTGTTTGTTAAAGAAGATGATGGATTCTGATGAAAGAGAATCGAATGGAGATCATTATAATAGAAATTTGGGACGAAAAAGGTAAATGAATAATGTGAAATAGTAAAGGATTAGGATGCCAACTATGTAAATTAGGAATTGCATATTATTTAATTTTGGCAAATCCAAGTCTAGATATCAAGTAACTTTAGCATTCGTGCCTGCTTATGGGTTCAACACAATGCATAGATTTTTGACAAGTAGGATTACGAAGCATGCAACCTGCCACTTGGGATTATCTGGATGGCCTGCTTCAAACTTCCATTAACTCTCTGCTCAGAAATCTCAAAGCTTTGTGCTCAATTTTGGTAGAGTACAGGGGATCATCAGACCAAGAGCATTCACTGAAAAAAATGGAGTTTTCTCTCTCTTCCTAAAAAGCATGGTGATCTTGGCTTTCATGACTTACAATTATTCAATCAAGCTCTGATATGTAAGCAGTTGTAGAGGATAGCCTCAAATCTAGAACTTCTTGTCAGCAGAATTCTAAAAGACGGGTATTTCTCAAATACCTGTATCTCTATGCTGTTAAGACACAAAGTGGATCCTGGATCTAGAATTGCTGGATGGAGATGATGTCTATATTTTCAAAGTGGTTGAAGACAGAAATCAGGAATGTTGCTGACAGTAGAATTGCAGACTTCAATTGGGTGCCAAATCTCCACAATCCCTCCCCTACACTAATCCCCGTAGCCATGGTTCTGAAAACCGGACCGGACCGGCCAGTTCAACCGATTGGACCGGGAACCGACCTTCATTCTGGTCCAATTTGAGCCATTAAACCGCCATGCATAAGAACCGGTCGAGAACCGTTCAAACCGGTCCAAAACCGGTTGAACCGGTGAACCTGGACCGGTTCGAATGGTTCACCGGTTCAAACTTATGAATTTGAAATTGGTTAAATGTGAAGGGATTCAAATAGCACACTTTTTTTACTTGTGTTTCCTATGTGGGATATGTTTCCTTGCTGAAATTATTGGGCATAACAAGCAAAATTGTACTCATTAAAAAAATGTATTGTTTTTTGAAGTAGACTATCTATTGGGCTAATATCTATTCTCAATTTTTTTTTCTTTAAAGAAGCAATTTATTGTTGTTTGTTATGCACATTATTTTTATTTTTTATTTTTTAATCAATAATGAAAAAATTTAAAATGTGATTTAAAATAAAAATTGGGTTGTTTTTATTCTCTTTAATTTGTAGCTTAAATATAGATTAAAATTTTATATATAAAAATAAAATTAAAATAAAAAATTTAACAACATTATTCAACATTCCCGGTTGTATCTATTATTGAGCTATTATTTGAATAATGTCATACAATATAAAATCAATGATAAAATATATATAATTATATATTATACATATAAAATAATTAAAAAATTATATATTAACTAAACCTTTCGACCGCTGGTCCGACTAGTGAACCATTGAACTAATAGCTTCACTAGCTCGATGACCGGTTCGGTTTTGAACCATGCCCATAGCTAGAGTTCATATGATCTGGATTAAGGAGCTACTGACTGCCAATAGCTCCCAGTGGAACGAGTGGTTGGTTAGACAAGTGTTTGATGTTTCTGACAGTGATGTTATCCTTAGCATTTCTTCTCTCCATCCTAACAGAAAAGACAAGTTATTCTGGGGTTTTGAGAAGAAGGGGCATTTTTCATTTTCAAGCACTTATGATTACTTGTCAAACCTAAAACTCTTACACTCTGACATCCCAGAAAGCAACTCACAAGCCACACTCAGAAAATCAATCCAATTCAGGTACTGGACACTGAAAGTAGCAGCAAAAATTGAGCATTTTTTATAGAAATGCATTACAGGTACACTTCAGTTCCAGCTCATTTGAAAAAGAGAAGGGTGGATATTGACACTACTTGTTCAATCTGTGGAGAGGCATTAGAGACAGTGGAGTATATCCTATTTACATGATCAAGAGCTCAAAGACTTTGAGAACTGTCTCCAGTCAAATGGGATGGGATTTCTGGAAGCAATGACTCTTTTAAGGCTTGGTAGTATCAAGTTTGCTCTTTTGATCATTCTGAAGTAGCCGAAGCAAGGATTCAACTATCAACATATATGCTTTGGTGGTTTTGGAAATCGAGGAATATCTGAATTTTTAAAAAAACTTTAATGCTGGTGTTCATGTTGATCAAGACGACTTAGAAGGATTGGCTTGAATTTTCCTTTGCATCTTAATTTGCTCTGTTCGACTTGTTTTTTTTTTTTTTTTAGGTTGGGTTTAGTTTCCTTGCTAGGCTTTATAGCAGTGGTAGGGAGCTNATTTTATCACTATATAATATTCAATTATTTATTTTATTCTAAAATATTTTATGAAATTTTATTATAATTGAACAAAATGCTATAGAACTACTTTATTTTAGCTTTGGGTATATAATGAGAAAATTCAATGTATGTAACATAATTTTATAAAATTTTGTGTATGCTTTAATTCAAATTTTTCATAAAACGTGTACCATTAAAAATTTGAGAAAATTATAGCCTACACTAGAAAATTATCTTTTAATTACATAAATAACACCTCGTTAAAAATATTTGCATTGTACAGGTATATTATGGTTTTATTTGCATAGATACGAGAATCTGTTGATAAAGCAAGTTGACTTAAATAATTAATTTACTAGCTATAATTAAGGTGTATAATATCACTACCAAAAAATGGCTCCCGATGAATATGGAATGAGGGAATAAAGATTTCTGAAAAACTGCCCACTGCCCACTCCCTTCAACACGTTTCTCCTCTTCTCTCTCCCACAAAACTTCTCAACTGCAAAACACTAACATATCCAATTCGAAATATGGCAAAAACGAAGATTGGAAGAAGTCCGGTAACCGGCGCCGAAGCCTCCCCTCATCGAAGATCGAGTTCGCGTCTCAGAAAAATAAAAGCTTACAGGAAACCCACTCTCGTTCAAAAAAAATTGCAATTTGAAAAAAAAATGAAAACCGATAACTATCGGATTTTGCCCGGCAAGAGAAGACCAGAAAAGGCCGACCCCTCATCCGATTCCGATGACTTTCAGTCGAAACCCGGCCACAATCCACAGAAAAGGTCACGGGTACACAATGAAGGAAAGAAGCGAGATGTGGCACAAAAGGGGGAAACAATGGATTCCGACTTTGAGGACGAAAGTCACGAAGAAGT